CGAGCCGCTTCCAAGAAGCTATAGATCCTCTAATTTTGTGTGTTGGTTGAGGAGCTACAATCTTTTAAAGATTGCGATGTTTTCAAAAACTCTAAAAAAACCACCCGCGCTCGTTTTTTCAACGAGCGCTATTACTCTAGGTAATGGCTGATGCTGCGCCTTATCTCGTTGGAAGCGGCTTTCAAAAATCTTTCTAACAAGACCTCTTTTGCCAAATTTCACCTAGCGGGTGAAAAGTTATTGGCAAAAGAGTTTTTGCCCTCTACATCTCCTCTCTTAACCCGTGACCATCTCCAAAAGTGCCACGTGGCAGTTTGTTGAGGATTTTTTTGAAGACCCCCCTGGCTAGGGGGCTGCACTACAGTGGAACTAGGTGGCTGATCAAGATCTCAGCCAACCCCAGATAATGTGCAGTAGCAGTTCATCACCACCTTGAAGGCCCCTTCTCCCAAGGGGTGTGTGAAGGCCAAGATCTTGTGGATCTTGGAGAGGTTGTATGCTCTTGGTTACCCAAGAGTTGGGTATCACCTCTCTCATCCCTAATCCACTCTCCCACTCCCTTTTCCCTCTCTCCCCTTCATCATCTGACCTTTTTTTTCTCTGACCACCATTCATCCATCACCTTTTCTCACTCCTCTCTTCTCATTTCTCTCCTCTTCTCCCCACTAATGTCTCATCCCCTTCACTCTTTCTCCATCCACTACCATATTTTTACTCTCTCCTCTCCCAACCTCACTCTCCWTGCTTCTTTTCCCTACTTCTCTCCTCTCCTTCCCCTTAATCTCTCATACCCTTCCCTCTTCACTCATCTCCCACCATCTTTTTCTCTCCTCTCTCTCCACTCACCTTCTCTTACTAATCTCTYACTCTTKTCTTCACCTTTTCCATAGCTTTCTCTCTCATTCTCTCACCCTCCTCTCCTCCTTTCTTCCCCCAACTACAACCCCATCATCTCCCTCACCTACCACTTCAATTTTTTCTCTTTCCCACCTATTTTTCACTTTTTTTCATCACTTTTTCATCCCCCCGCCCCCCCACTTCGATTTTTTCTGTTTTTCTTCTTTTCTCTTTCTTTTTGATTTAAATTTTCTCCGTTCCTCCAAAAATTCGAATTATCTTTTTCCCTACTTATTTTCTCATCTTTCTGATTTATTTTATTTTCCGTTATTTATTTTGAAAATTTGAATTTTTTTGCGGCACTCTAAACTCTGATTAGGACTTAGTCATTCTTGCTTTCGGCACACATTTTGACCCCGTGGGGGTAACGAAGTGCTGCCGAAATTTGTGAAAAATCCAAAACTTTGTTAGTTTCTATTCACTCTCCTCCACCTCCTTATTTATTTATCTATTTTTTTATTTATTTACTTATTTTTCTGAAAATTGTAATTTGCGGCATTGTAAAAATTAGTGTGTTTCTCTTAGTCTCTCCTTTCTCTTTGCACATTTTGACCCCGTTGGGGTAAGAAAATGCTTCCGAAATTTTCAAAAAAAAAAATAAGTCCTCTTCCATCGTTCTTTACATTTTATTTCTTTATTTATTTTTATTTCTTCTTTTATTTTATTTTTATCTCGAAATTTTTTTGTTTATTCTATTTTCTTTCCCCCTTCCCTCCATATTATTTTTTTTTCTTGATTAGGTCGCCGCTACCCTCCCCTAACCACCTAAACTCCGGTTAGGGTTTTCTTAGGGTTTTCTAGGGTTTAGGGTTCTCCTAACTCCCGCCCCCCTTCCTACTCTCCCGCCTCCTCCTGTCGGGCACCCTGGACCTGGACGGCTCCTCCCCCCTTGAGCAGTTCGGCGCCTTCGTCTCACGCACGACCCGCAAAATCCGAGGCGAGGCGAATCACACATACTCACTCCGCTCCCGCGGTCCCCTTCCTCTTACCAGTGGGCCCCTTTCCCCACACACTCCTCTGAGGACTACCTCCATTCCCCTTTCGGCCATGGAAGGGAGTTCATCCGAGGAAATCATCGCGGCGCAGTCAACACCCCAGGTCAGCGCGCCGTCTCGGCTCATGATCAGACCCATGAGGACACCATGGACCTTCATGCCGTCCTTATAGCAATCCAGGCACAACTTAGTACGCTTGGACCATTACAAGCGCAAATCAATGCGCTAGCCCTCGACGTCAACCGCCTCAAGGGTTCCCCTCATCGCTCTCCCCACCGCTCTCACACCCCTTCCCCTACCGGCTTCGATTCCAGCTCCCAGGACTCCGGAGACGGAGTCACCATGGTTCTCCCTCCTCTGCGGGTCAGGGCCAACACTCCCCCTCAGCGGTGGCGAATGCTGCTGCCGCTCAGACCACCCCGTCCGTTGTGGCAGTTCTTCCGGCCACGGCCGCCCCTACCGTCTCTACTACTGCCGTAGGTGCTGCGGTCCAGGTACCGCCTTTTGGCCCAGCAGTTTCATCGACCCACACCGGTGTTGCTTCCCAGCTTCCCGCATCGGTTGCGACAATACAGCTCCGCCCTCTTCTTCCTGCCTTCGTCCCCCCGCCCCCACAGCAGGGTACCACCCAGGCTGGGATTCCTCCTCCTACTGGGACACCTGCTCCGCCCCCTCCACCTCCGACCCCGCGCACCCAGCGAGTGGCCACTTTACAGGCCACCATTGCGCAGGATTAGGTGGAGATTCTCGCTCTGAGATAGCCTCACCCATTACAGGTTGCCCACCCTTCTTCCTCTACCACCCCTTCGGTCCCCATGATGTAGGCTCGTTTCCCTCAACCTGCTCCTCAGCCTCTTCCCTCCTACCTGGCTATTTCGGGACGCAGCCGTTGCCTCCTCGTCTGCTGGTCCATTCGCTAGCGGCCACGGCCCACAGCCTTCCTCCACCTCTGCCCCTGCAGCGGCCTCGACTTACGCTGCCGCAGTGCACTCGCCTCGATCTCTCTCCCCCCGCCATCAGCATAGTGGACATCCTCCTGTGCGCCCCACGGACATTCCCGAGTATGATGGCACATCCCGTGTCTCTCGCTGGTCGTAGATAGCAACGCGCACGCTCTCTATGACGACCACCCGTCAGGAGTTGTGGTGCGATGTGCTCGCAACCAAATTGTGAGGTAGCCCTTCCACTGCGTGGGAGTATCATTATACCCAGCGCCTCCGCGTGGGTGAAGTCCCCACTTTGGCCGACTTCGCGGCCTTCCTTCAGGACCGTTTCGGTGCTCGTCATGACGCCACCAACGCCTTAGACCGCGTCACCAAGACCAGATGGTCCGGGTCCTCTATACCGGCCGACCTAAAGCGTCACATCCAGGTGTTTGAGGACGCTCGCCTTGTTTGTGACGAGACGTCCTACCGGAGGTCACACTCACCGACCGGTTCCTTGTCAGCCTGCCGACTGACTACCGCCTAGAGCTATGGAGGCGATCATTCTCTTCCGCGGAGCAGGCATACGAGGCTGCGCGTCGGTACCAGAGGATGTGCAGTCGCTTCTCCGTCGCCCCATCCTCTTCGCGGTCAGCCGTCACCTCCCAGTCTCGGGGTACCACCCGAGGCCGCTCCTCGTTTGCTGGTCGTTTTCGTCGCCCGGCTCGACCTGGAGCGCCATTCGCTCGACACTACAGTTCTCTCGAGTATGGAGAGGACGCCTCAGCCGAGCTCGATCCTACCATTGGGAACGCCCCCGAGGACA